AAAAAACTTATGTAATTTGAACTGAATTTATTCACATGGACTTGCAAACAAACAAACAAACACATGCAATCCTACCTCATTTCATATTTCATATATTATGATGAAAAATTATTGAATTGATTGCAGTCTGTGAGATTTAGAATTTATGTCATGGTACTTCAAAAGCTTTTAAAACTAAATTGTATTCAATCTCAATTTTCAAGAACTCTTTCAAAATCACTTATGAAATAAGCTGTACAAACATATAACCATTAAACAGAAACATCTTTGTACCAAATTTCCTTATTTCTACTGTGAAACCTGCACAAAGAGCCACTTCCAGTAATGGCCAATTTTCATGAAACATGATTTTTCCATAAGACACTTGTAAATGTTTCCTCTTTTCAGAGGCCAATGGCCAGTGGCTAAGCTCATTTCATATATTAACCTTTATTAAGCAGCCATTTCAAGTGATATTCAATTGTATTATAACAAGAAGCAGAAAAGTGCAGGAGATTACTGTTGATTTCATGTCTTCCTATAACAGGTTGCATTGTCAGGTAACTTCAAATCATGTCATCCACAGACTTTTATCTTGCAAAGGGATTACTTTCTGTTTCAGGCAACATGATTTTAATAAATATCTCTTAATGAAACGTTTTTGTTTCTCCTATTTCATAGCATTCCTATGGTTTTCTAATTCTCCGGTGACATCTGTGGAGGACTTGTGGAGCATGCTGTGTACACAAATCCAAAGTTAACTAACCCTGTGAAACGGCACAGCTGTAAAGGTACTAAAGGATATGAATTGCATCTACAAGTCTTAGTTCGCTTGTTTGATTCAGCAAGGGCAGAAAGTGGATTTCTAGTCTAAGATAATGAGTGTCAATCAAGGGTGTGTTTTGATGTGAGCTGAGAGGAGGCAAATGATCTTCAACACCTTGTTAAATTCTATTTTGACATTTACAGTAATTATGTTGAAGAAAATATACTTCATTTCACAGCAATCACCATGTTTACATTTGACTTATGCTTCAACTAAACTCATAACCTAGATTAACAGCTAGTTTTCTCTAGAACCATTGGTGACTTCTTAAGCTAGGTTTCATTGTACTCTTAAAAAGTGTATGTACATTGGAAAGGAAAGTGACACCAGTTGTAACTGTCAGAACACTGTAAAGCAGACAAAATAATAAAATCTAAAAATCTACCACTCGGGCAATACAGATTTTTTATTCGAACTTCTCATGCCTACAAAAATAGTGGTATGAGAAGCTATATATATTAATGTTTTAGTTGCCACTCTGCTTCAACTACATAAAACACTAAGTTCTCATTGTACATAATTTTTTTCCCCTTACTCACCAATATATCCTCAGGACGAACATCTGCACTGAAAGATTTGTCTTCATACATAACAACATAAAACATCATTTCATCTATGTTTGTCAGAGTTCCTCTGTAGTAACGTCCATTTGTATGCTTTGCCCAAACATGATGACCAACTTGTATTCCACCAACCTATAACATTTACAAACTCATTACTTTTGGGCCATAATATTAATATAATATATTAAATAATGAAACAATAAAAAATCAAAATTCATGGTTTCCAAACAAATATCATACTTTCAAATTTTATTTCTTGAATGAATTGTAGTGAGTGTATATTTATAATATTTTGATGCTCATGAAAATAGAAGTTGCTTATTTGTATGTTTTGTCTCTTGTGTAATTTCTAAGACATAATTCAAATGAAGGGCTAGGGGTGGTAACAAAATGAGCCATAGAAACCTCTCACTATTGGTAAAAGTTAATATCTCGATTTGGAAGAAAAGAGTGGCTGTTGTTGTTATTATATGTCTTGTTCATATTTATGAAGATCATCATCATCATCATCATCATCATCATCATCATCATCATCATCATCATCATCTAGATAGGGTTATATCAGCATGACCTGTACCTTTTAAACCCAGTATTCTCTTTGCCATTATGGTGTTCTTGGTCTTGCCATCTTAGTTTTGGTCTACTGTGTTCTCTCCAACCTTTGGGTTTTCACATTCTGTTTGCATTTATTCTCTTGATGTGTTTCTGCCATTTTCTTGTGCAATCTTCAAATTCTTTGTCTATATTCATTGTTTTCAGGCTTTTCCTTAGGAGCTGGGTTTCTCCCAGTCTCATACATTGATATTTAAAATTCATCTCCTAGATCTAATTTTTGCAGCTTCCTTTTGCCTCTCTACTCCAGCACCTATGCTTCACTGTCATATAGCACGGTTGTTTTAGAATCCGTAATGTGCAGTCTAATTTTTAAAGAGAAAATTGTCACTATTTCTTATTACTTCTGATTACTCTTAAATGAGTTTGACCACAGTTTTCTTTCCAGACACATTTAAAACAAATGATACGCTTAACAATAAAACAAACTATCACTCTTTATGAAATTTCTGATACCCAAAATTCAATTACGACACACTGGCTAGATAGAGCACTTTAATGAATTTTACAAATATTGAAGTGTTGAGAGTTGAATTGCAATTATTATTCTAGGTAAGTTCTGGAAATGCATAAAATTAAAACAACACACAAGTGGAATCAAATGCTTTCATGTGACCTTATGTTTCAGATTTATTGAACTTTTGTGAGCTTTAATTCTTTGCTTGGTTTATTTTTGTTTGGCAACTTGCATTTCTTTTATTTCCACTTTTTTTAATTAAGTGAATGTTGTCACTTAAAAATTAAAATTAAATTTCTTCTGATGCATTTTGGGAACCTACAAAATTTGTCTGCTTTTAATTTATTTGTTTTAACAGTATATTGAAGCCCTCCCCCAAATTCCCCTTCTCCTCCTACCTCATAATGGTCTCGGCCCATTGTCATTTCCATCCTCTTCACGTAACTGCCATGCTGAACGGGCTTTTGCACTGGCGATTGTACGTATGTATTTAGTTTCAATGTATTAGTAATTTTTTGTTGTTCAAAATGGTGAGTCTTCTCTTGTTATTTTATATCAAGTACTAGTGTTTCATTGTTAATTGTACCATTTTTTAAAGTCAATAACATGCTACATATGTAAAAGAAATCTCTTACATTCACTGTAGCCTGAAGATGAAAATTCATATCTTCCAAACGTCACACTACAAAACTTGGGTTAATGAAATATATGAACTTTTAAATTTATAATATGTAATTCTGGGTTTTTATTTCTTAAAATTTTTAATAACTGCGTCTCTCTCTAACACTCATCCAATAATAATAATAATAATAATAATAATAATAATAATAATAATAATAATAAAAACAGTAATTTTACTTTTGAAAGTCATGTTTTTGAAATGTCTTTTGATACATTTATTAATTTTGTTATGTCTAGGCAATTTCATTTCGAAATCTTAATTTTCGAACGCCAATGTGCCTCGCAAAATGTGTGAAATTGTTACTGAATTCATAATTTTGACATCTATTGCAATTTTTAGCCTCTGGTGTTCTTTGCCCAGTATTCACATAGCTCTTGATTTAGTTGATGATAATCTTATTCCGTATTCTTCTGCAATCTTAAATAATTTGCAAGCAGCTCTTTGGAATTCTTTACATATTGTTACCACAATCATCTGAAAAATGCTGATAACAGTCTTTATTGTTCTCTCTTGTTTCAAAATTATTCCATCTCCTATTTCTTTTTTCCGCCACTTAATTCCGCAGTTTAGATAAATATTTTGTATGAAATTCAAAGAGAGAGAGAGAGAGGGAGAGAGAGAAGGGAGGGAGAGAAAGAAGGGAGAGAGAGAAAGAAGGGAGAGAGAGAAAGAAGGGAGAGAGAGAGAAGGGAGAGAGAGAGAAGGGAGAAAGATAGAGAGAAGGGAAAGAGAGAAGGGAGAGAGAGGAAGGGGAGAGAAAGAGAGGACAGAAATTAGAGAGAAAGAGAGAGTGAAAGAGGAGAGAAAGAGAGAACACAAATATGAACATTCTTAATTATACGAATACATAATTGTATGTAGTATATTAATGAAATATATAAAATGAATGTATAAATACAATATGAGTACTTGCATAAATATAAATACATAATACACAAATACATAGCGGTTTTTATTACTCTCTCCCCCTCAAGGCGCTACATCACGGTGGCACTGTCACTGTATTTCGTGTCTTTCTCGGTCGTGCCGCTCAATGTCGAATGCTCGCGACCATATCCAGCTTGATATACGCTTGCAATCATGCAACATCTAGCGGCATGACCGAGAAAGACTCAAGGCATGAAGGGCAGAGTATTAAAAAAAAACACAATAAGTGAAAGGGTAAGAGTCACACTTTAATTACAATAGTTACTTGAACATTAATATAAAGAAAATTAAAACACAGATTATGCATGTCGTGTGAAAGGGCTTATGTTTGATATATTGAATGACAAGTTTATACTGCCTAATCTGGATAACATTATAATCAGAGTGCAGATAATGCAAGATGTTTAGTGCGATGTCATTATAAATTGATTTATAGTAAGCTTATGTAGACTCAGAGTCGTTCTGAATGAATTATTATAATGTGAAAGTATTAAGATTGTGCAATTAAATCAGAATGGCATAGACTTTCTCCTAGTAAAGTTTTCTAATTTCTTTGGTGTGGACATTTTCTCCATTTTTCAGTTTCCAAATAGAATAAGCGAAATATTACTTTTAGAATATGAAAGAGTAAAACCTCATAATACCAATTTCCATTGAAAAATTTGAAGCCAGTTTTAAAAGAAGTTTAAGCCTCTCTGTAAATGTGAAATTTGAAGCTCTTTTTTAAAGAAATTTTTTAAGTTTTCGAAAAACTTCATTTTGTCGTTTTAAGCACTTTAACTCACAAATAGAATAGTGTTTACAAATCGATGGAAATTTGCATATTAAAGGCAAGGGAGATATTTAAAAACAAATACTTTTGTATAATTTTTGAAAAAACAAAAAAATAAACTGTGTCATATTACACAGTCCGTTGGAAAAGTTTGAAGAAAAAATTGGGAACAATTTGTGATAAAATGTCTTTTGAGCGTTTCAAAAATGCAAAATTTTGAGCTAATGTTCACAAAAAACTGTTGAGTTTTCGAGACATTTTATAAAATATAATTTTAAGCACGTATACTCATAAATACAATTATGTGAGCAAATTGCCGCTAATATAAATATTAACGTCGTAAGAGACAAGTCAAAACAAATTACATTTTTGTAATTTTTGAAAAAAATAAAAGAATAGAGCAAAACTGTGTTGAATTCATTTCATATGATATATTAAATACTATCCTTAACAAAAGTTTAAAGAAAAAATTAGGAGCTGCTTTTGAGAAAACTTGTTTTTGTTATTTTTTAATATTGCACACAATACTGAGCGAAATTTACTAATTTTTTTTTAAAATTACAAGACCTAAAACTTAACGTGGAGAACAAAAGAAATAAACATGGAAAAAAAAATTTAATTGAACGAAAAGTCTTCAACTTTGTAGTTGTAGGCAAATGCTGGTTTCGAAAATTAAGTTAACCCTGAAAATTGGCTTTTGCCACATTTACAGGTGTATTTTACTCTATTCTTACAAGAAATCTAACGAAAATATTTGGAGCAGTTTTTGAGAAAATTTTGAAAATGTCTCCGGGTCTTTATGCAAAGTACCCCCAAATTTTAAAGAAAGGTTCTCAAATATTTGACACGAGCCAGATCGACAGGGTTTTCTTCAATTTTGAAAAAAATCCTACACAAGGTTCAAACGCTAGAGGTGTTCACAGAGATTACTCTGTATACACGTTCATATATGAGAAAGTAAAAATTAACTATTTTAAATATTGGAGTAGTTGTTGGAAGACAAAGAAAAATGATAAAACTTTTGTAAGTTTTGAAAAATGAAACCAACGCAATTTATGGGCAAAAATTTGGAGTAAATTTTCAGATTTTTTTTTTTGTTTTAAAAATTGCCTATACTTGATACAAAATTAAGCAACAACTATAACTCATTTTGAAAAAATGTACATAACTGAATGCAAAGATTTCATTAAGAAAACTAATCTATCTTCAGTATTGGTTTTACATAAACAATGACAAAAATTTTAAGCTTTTGCAATTTTTTAGAATTTAGAGAGAGAGAAAATTCAAAGAAAATGGAACCTGCATCGTGATTAGGAGCATATATCACTGGCAAATGCAGTTTATTGAGGTACTTGTCTACCAAAAAACTGATTGAAAATATGGAGTTTTCTCTCTCGTTATTTCAAATACCTCTGTTTCAAATAAGGTAGCTAAATGAAAATGTAGCCAAAACTCTTTCAAAAATGAGGGCAAAACCGAAACCATTCTATTATTCTATATACATCTATTATTTGGTTTTCTCATTCACATGGGCTTCAATCAGCCCATGTACTGTGGTTATACTGTGTGCCAAATGCTCTGTCTGCAACTGTACTTTCTGACCCTCTCTAGCATTTCATTTTGCTCACGTCCCATTTGATTTTAATATAGCTGACAGAGACACCTGTGGATAGCAGTACAAGAGAGGAGAACCTCCCTTGTAATGTAGAGCTCCATTAACAAACGTATCGTATTCCGGCCACAGGAGCACTGAGAGATATGACCGATTAACAGAGGAGGAAAGGCTGTTAGTTCATCCTCAGAGCAACTTTGCATTGTTTAAAAGCAAACATTGCTGATCAAGGTGAATTTTCACGTCGCTATTCACATTCCCCTCAAATATCAAAGCAAGCTTTCTTCTTCTTCTTCTTTTTTTTTCTTTTTTTTCTTTCTTTTTTCTCTCCTTTCTTTCCCCAAGGTGTCTGCGAAAAAAGGATTCCAGAAAGAATCTCATTTTGTGATTTGATAACTTCATAATTATTGGATAATATTGGAAAGTCAAAATTTGAATAATTTTTTTTTATAAAATGCACAACTCTTTCCAATTTTTCAGGACAAAAAATATTTCATGAAAGTGACTTTTATGGGGAAAAAAGAAAGAAAGAAAGAAGAAGAAAATAAAATGAAAGTGTTATCTAGCAAACAATCTTCATAACCCTTCGACTCTGTTTTTCTGTTACTCACGTGGTCTCTATTGGGGGTCAGATTTGACCCCTAACATTTTACCCATAAGTTTATGAGTATTTCATGCACGAATGCTATTTAGAATTATTAATTAAGAAAATAATTTATTTGCTTCATTTACTATATTGTGTTCAAAAAAACAAAGAATAATTTATGCACAAAAACATTCTAGCATATCTTCATAACATACATAGGTGTCTTCCATACCGGCATGAGACTGTCTGATACAAAGCTACTAACTCGTAATAGACGAATACGCCAGACTTTCATTCCGAAACAACACAATATTAAAAAACCAGAAATGGACACGTTTTTAGAGTTTTTCTTATAGTAGAGATGTGTGATGTGGAATCTATTTGGGAGCAAGTCTCACTCCATCCACATATAAATCAAATTAATACTTCAAACTAAAAAACAATTAAAAAACTGAAAGTTTACAACACATGTAAAAATGGACATTAATAACATATCTAAAAGGAGAAGTTCATGAGAATAATTTTCAGTATTGCAGAATATTATTTGTGCCAGGGGTCAGAAAATATCCCAAGCAGAGTCTAAGGGTTAATAGATATGCCACAATTAGCACATAAGTCTGATTAACAAAAATAAATATAATGCAAATGAGGATTTTCAGGTTTACAATTTAAGAAGAGATGTACACAGAAGATCTATGAAATATAATAATTGTTACCTAAGATGTAAAGGAAAATGTGAGTATTTTAGAGAAAATGTTGCCATTAAAAATAACAAAAATTCAACAATACAGTTGTTTTTGTGAGTGTTTACTGTTAAAACTAAATACATTTGCCAAGAATAAATTAAATGCAATAATTAATTCCCCCACTGAATAAATTAGTTCCTTACAACTATCTATAATGGAATCAGAAATAATTTGTTTTTTTTCTCAAAACTTCACTGAAAATTAGGGTGTATATTATACTCTAATCACTAAGATATATCGCTTTAAGTGTAGATTTATTGGAGACAGTGGGGCGATGGACATGCAGGTTTGGGAGATACTGCTTTACGTACAGTACTATTCTCTTTAAAATAAATGTTCCTACTATGAAGAAGCTTATAAACCAATGAGCAGGGTGAAGGCAAGAGTCTCAGCCCCAAACTGGATTACATGAGTGAGGGCCATAAGGAATTCGCAACAGGAAGATTGATCTGTGAGTTAGAGACAAACGTTAGCAAACTGCAGACATCTTTGCACAATGCATTGTTCATACAAATTTATCATTCAGTGTTTATCTCGAAAACAGCATTCAATTGCAACAGGCTGACTTAGGATTTTGTACTTGTGTGTACATCATGTCAATTTCATGACTATCAAGACTATTGGACAGAAAGCTTGAAGAGAATCTTTAACATAGACAAGATTCAGTAAAAGAATAGTCTTCCAAACAATTCACTCAGAGCGTAAGTGGTGCGTAATGTATTTTCCAACATGTAACCGTAAATTACAATGAAATTAGTATAGTTTTTTACTGTAACAATGAAATGTAATGATATAATTTTAATTAAATGATGACTTTCAAAATCATGTTAATTACCTTAACAGCATGATTAAGGCACCTAGCAACGAGCTTTGGTGCTGATTTCCATTTATTTACTGTAAACTCAACACCTCTTGACACCCCACAACTGGCATGAAATCTTGTTGGGCATTGAGACTGAACACAAGATACAGAGTATGTTCCATCTTGGCCACAATATTCACAGATCTAAAAATAAAAGAAAAAATAAGTAAAACATGGGTAAAAAATAAACAAAGTAATAATGAAATAAACTTTTTGAATATAAATAACATTTAAAAACAGAAGTAACTCACTATAATGCTTCCAAAGAAAACATTTCTACAGTAATTTCCCTTTTCAACAAATTGATCATATTCAAATCTGACATCAAAAAAATGAATCGTAGAGCTTCAACAGCACATACTTTCTTGTATTATGGGGAAAGGTTACATAATAATAATAATAATAATAATAATAATAATAATAATAATAATAATAATAATAATAATAACAACAACAACAATAAAGTTGGAATATTATTAATATTATTACTAATAATATTTTTATTTTCATATTGGCCATTTGTGATCACACTACACGTTACCTTCTGAGGTCCCGGAGAGAACAACGTATGTAATTATGGGGATCAGCTTTTTACGGCTGTATCCCTTGTTAAGATAAAGTTGTTACACCTTCAATTATGAATTATGAGGTGATGGGAATGATGGGAGGTGAAGGGAAAATCACAAATACGACCGTGCCTATGCAGAACTCGAACCTGCAGCCTTCTTGATGCACACGATAGCTGCTGCAAGAGTCTACGGCACTGAGCCGACGCTTTCTTTTTATATTTTAATAATAATAATAATAATAATAATAATAATAATTATTATTATTATTATTATCATCATTATTATTATGGTAGGATCACGAAGTTGTTATACACATCTTACAACAATGTAATAAAGTATTACAATTATACATTTTTGTAGAGTAACAATTATATAATCAAGTGAATTTATTTCCATCACAACTATAGATCACAGATTCTACAAGTAGGTGCATGCACATGTGTGTGTAAGTGCATTTCATAATCATCTAGTTTATCACAAAATTATTATTGGCCTTTTACTACCTTTCCTGGTTAGTTGGACTGTCATTGGCCAGAATATCAATTGGGAAATAGCCAATTCCTCATGGCCTTGGCCTCAGGCCTTGCACATTGTGGTATTTTGAAAACTGCAAAAGTTGATTAAAAAAAAGTATCCTACACCTTTAATGTGGAAGCTAGAAGCTTACAAAGCAATATTTCAATATAAGATCATCTTTCATGTACACGTTTTTGAAAATATCATTGTTTACTTAATTTGACCTTAAATGGTGACAAAGATAATTTTTAAACTTGTCCTACTCTGTAAATATTTGAAGCTAGAGAATTCTTTCACATTGTAATCTATTCCTCGACAACAGATCTTTAAATCATTTCATGTACATTTTTTTCACAAATGAGTAGTTTTGGAGTAATCTGAAGATTATTAATGTTTATTTTGTTACACTCTTTTATAATACCCTTCTATATGAAATTACACTCTCTCTTGCCTGCTTCTGTAGTGTAGCAGCTATGGTCTGCCCGTTAAAATACAATTTAGAGGGTTGATTCCCACCATTCCTAGGAAAAATTATTTTCTTAAACATTTTTCCTGAAGTAGAGAAAAGGGCACTAATAAATAAGGTACAAATCTTATTTTCATTACAAACTGTGAACTTTAAAAAATTGCATACTTGAACCCCCCACACTTCATTTGCTGAAGAGAGCTTTTCACAAGATGGCTGAAGAATTAACATTATACAGTATGCAATATTATTACATTATGTAAAGATAAAATGAAAAAGTATGTGCTGCTGCAGCACCACTTCAGTTCAAGTTATTTGTACAAGAGTCCATTGAAAACATTCTTAGAAAATGCATTCACATGAACATATGTGATCATATAGCTTTATGGTAATTCTATACATAAGATAACTTATATCTATTCATAATAATAACAACAACAACAAAGAGGAGCATTGCTAACCAAGTGTAAGTGCTTTGTAGTATTTCCAAAGAGTTAAAGTAAAACAGTCTTCTTGTATAGAGGATTTTTTTGGGGGGGTCACGAGAAAATGAACCATAATGTTTAAGCTATAGGTTTTAATAAGCATAATAATGTTTACTAGTCTGTGAGCCATATGTGGTTCACAAAACGTTTTGATACGTACGTGAACCACATGTGATTCACAGACGTTTAGAACTTCAATCACGAATACCTTTTTACGGAACTCACTGAAACTGCACAGTTAGCTAAGACCATCAAAGAATTTAGATGGTACATGCAGAAAAATATTTTAATTTTTGAGAATAATGCAATAAAATAATTATTATAAAGTTGTTTGAACGTGCAGATATATTTTAATGTTTTCATAGGGAGAGGGAACGTGTTAAAAACTAAAGAATTTAATTTTTGACATTACAATTGTTGGCATTGTCGCATTAATAAAATGATTAAACTAAATTAATAAATCTAATCATACAAACTCTAACAAAGTCAACTTACCCCAGAACTAGGACGTGGTGTAATATTGCTTATATCAATAACTCCTCCAGGTTCATGTCCAGATATAGACATGTAACACAATATGTGGACCCAACGACCATCTGTTGTCTTTCTCATAGCTCCACCTCGAGTTGGGCAAAAACAGCAGAGCTGCACAAACCAAACAAATTTTCAGCAATTGTAGTCATTACAAAGTTTCTAAACCACAAATTTAAAAATGGAATGTACAATAGAATCTCTAAAATCTGCTCCTGATTAATCTGACACCCTTAGCTTGAGACCATGCTTGCACCCACACGATCGTCAGCTGGCTATAGTTGACATGTCATTATTGACAAGTTGGTTGTTCTTTAGCGTGTGTGTATTAGAGTGTACCCAAGTGGGGGAATCTTTGATATTGTTCTAAAATATACCGAACAAAATAACCAGGAGAGGTGGCTAAGAATGTCACAGCAGTGCCTCTGGCCAGGAGGTCAAAGGTTTGAATGCCGATGGTGGCAGGATTTTTGACACTAGCTAGAGAGCCGAGTTCAATTCAGTCACTGTCTGGAGGAGAATTCTGGCGGCCAGCTGATGAAAAAATTGTTTCTGCATCAATTTCATGTTTCTGTAGTCTATTTTAGAGCTTCTTATTTGTAGGCAATAAATATTTTAAATATAATAGTTAATATATAAAAGTACACCTTAATATTTTCTTATCTTTCTGATAATGTTTCTTTTCTTTCTGATCCAAATCACAGATTCCTTTGATCGTTTGCATTTGGCCTCAGAACAATTTGATAATGGATGATGTTTATAATCTTATAATTGGTAAAACAGTCAACAGGACCTAAGAACAGTCTGGGTCTTATTTTCTTTGGATTATCAGACGAGCATGATTGTATACCTAATGATTTTTTTAAAGGAGTGATCACTCAGCCACAGCAAGAAAAAGTAGAATAGAGAGTATTAAGAATTTAAAACAAAACAGAAAATGCAAGCTTTATACTCACCTCTTTATGCTTCCCCTCACTACATTTCTCGCACATCCAGCCATTAACATTTGTTGGCAACCCTTGTATGCCATAGCAACCTGAATGCACAGTCAGGTAGCACTCACGACAGGTTATTAGAATTTGCACATCTAAATGTTGCCCATTTGATCCCAATGATTCCTGATAACAAGAAAATATTAATAAATGATTCTGCTGCTTTGGTAACAAATCATCCTTCACTGACATAAATTCATAAACAAAATCAATTAATAACATACACTCCATGGTGATACTGAATTTCTAAAATTGAAAGAAACAATTTCTTTTATACACATGGACATATTTCACTACAGTATTGTCAAAACTGGAACACACCAACAGTTGTTTTATAAAAGGAGATGAAGTTTTTAAGAATGATTAAATCCACATTGTGATAGTGCAAGGAACATCACTCTTTTGAGTGAATAAAGCTCTATTTAACCCTGTGTAATAAAGAAAACTACGTTTATACCATTTCCTTTCATTTTGTATTTAGTCTGAAACACATGTAAACACTTAGACTGCATTTGCTAATGACCATTACAATCTATAGTTGCACTGTCTCCTACATTTCAAAGACATGCAGAAGACAGTGGTAGCTGCAATCAGCTATTCTTATTTCAGTGATGATATGAATGAATGAACAGAGGCACTTAGAGTTCACTTCGTACTGTTACTTTAATTACTTTTGGGAAAATGCCACTTTCATTCTGGCAGTAAAAAAGAAAAAAACACTGGTGAAGTATGTTTAAAAATAAAATGACTTATTTATCCAAAATTATTTTATATGCATTTACTTTTAAACTCCAGTTCCAAAACAATATGAAATTTCTTCAATGTGCTGCATATTAGTGCTACAAGTGAACATTACATAAACATAAGTATAATATGAAATACTAAAATTACCCTTGGACGACTCCAATAAAAAGACATGACAACTTAATTAGGTAAGATATTCTGGTATTGTCTTGACTCTATTTCAGTTTGCAGCTGGAAAATTTCTTGTATGTAGAACACCTACCTACTTCTATGTGTAACAGAATCAAATTTTCAAGTAAATTACTTCTACAAACAGGAAAAGGCACATTTTTATACAAAAAGGAGCTTAGAGAAAACATCCAATTTACTTCGTTTTGAAGCAAATCCATACTCCTATAGCCTGTTCAGTTTTTAAATTACAAACATTTTGTTTTTGTGACGACATTGGGTAAGATTGTAAAGGGCACAATTTAATTATTTTTATCAAATGTTAGAGAGGAAACTTTCATTTGCAGGAAAAAACTTTCCATCCATTATGGAATGAAAACTGTAACAGTTTTGATCGTTTAAATTTATCCCTTATTTTTCAACCTTTTAGCTTGCTTGTTTTTTGAATAAGTGAACATTTATTTGCCCTGTTTGAATCTCCATAAGTAACCCCCCCACCCCACCTTTCAACATCACTAAAAATCTCACTGGTGGTCACTGAACAACCAACTGAGCCCTTTTATATTTAGAATATAATATTGAAACCGAAATTAACCATGCTGATACCTGCCAACAGGCAGAACAGTGATGAATGTTGACTGAATTCTTTGGCAGTAGTTTACATAAAATAAACTTAAATTTATACGATGTTTTTAAAACTAGATAGCAGTGTTGCACCCACAGGGGAGGGGAGACTGGAAGGATTATCATGGTGCTTGAGTCCCCCCTCAGAAGCCAATGACACAGTGAAATATATTTTTTACTTACTTTCTGTAGTAACAATGGTCAATCAAAATTTTAACTGAATAGATTACAAATACCTATAAATCAACAAATAAAATTTAATTTTAAAATTCATTATAAATGAAAATCCTTAATTTGAAAATATCAAGTTGACTGGATGCCTCGCTTAGACAGTACAAACATTTATATCCCCTCCAATGAAAAAACCTTGGTTACCCCAGTGATAGGTAGTACTGTAGAATTCATAAAGAAATTCAGGTTATAATATTTTTAATTTACAGAATTAAATTTAAAAATCTTAAAAATATATTTATACCAGAAATACCCATTTTAAAAATATGACTATATACACAAAATATAGGCTACATACGATATTAGAAGAAACAAAATTTATAACTGCATAGCAGAAATGTACTGCTGTTAAAGTGATATTTTGTAATTAAGCATAAGTATTCTAGTTTTGAATAAAGCAATAGACAACTACAGGGTCTTCATAAAACTTTAATCTCATTAAAACATACACACAAAATTTCGAATGTGTTCGTTTAACCACCGCACTTGGTGCCTAAACACTCATATTCGCACCTCTCTGTTGTCTCATCATTTCCATTTAATCACCAATTTTCAATTTTGACACAATGTTATCAGAAGAGCAATTTTAAAAATGATTTTATAATATTATTTCTACAAGATAAACACTAAATTTTAGTTTATAAAATCATTTGAAGTAGTATCCCCCACCCCTGATTGTCTACGGAGGTCTGGAGGTTCATAGGTAATTGGCACTTCTAAGAGTGTGGAAAAATACTACATATCCCAGAACTTTCAGTTAACTCTGATCTAAAACATCTGCAAATAAAAAGACTTTGATTCAAATACCCACCCCTCAAGGAAGCTAGTTCACTTCATGGTGAAAATTTCAGTATCACCGAAGCCTGGAGAGAGAGATGGGAGAAAAATGCACTAGCTGAAAGCCTAAACATACCTTGCACAACAAAAAAGCCAATGGGTTTTGAACCATCACGAAAAACTTGGTGCTCATTAAACAGAATCCGGACAAATCATGGGATATGCGAAGATTCCCTCTACAAATGGGGAAAAACCAATTTCCACAGTGTGACTGTAATGCTGATAGACAAACCTTTAGGCATATTGTGGAAGAGTGTCCATTACGATCCTACGCTGGCAAGTCGACAGTTTTTGTGACTGCAGCTGAGAGTGCAATAGAATAAATTAATAACTTAGACGGATGTTTATGACTTCCATTGTGTTTGCTTTTGAATTTTTTTGTATGTTTATATACATGTTCATGTATTTTTGAGATGTGTAACCATATGATAAGTAAATACCCCCCCTCCTGATTTCCTCATACAGTCATTCGAAAATTAAATTGTAAAAAAAACAACACTTCTTTGATGTGTAATGGTCATTTGGATTAGAAACGAGTTGAGCTAAAATTCAGAGAAACAAATTTTATTTTATGTAGGGGCAATTGTTCAAAACAGGGCTCTTTTACTGTCTTATCTGATCAGATCTTTCTTACTCTTTGGCGGTCTATGGTACTTCATTAAGGCTTGAGAACATCATTACAAAAAATAGTTCAAAATTAAAAGAATAAACCATAAGAGCTATTCTCTAAGTTGTATCTCTATGTAGTTATCACAGCATGCTATTTGGCTTCGGTGGAGGCATTTGCTCTTTGTGCAAGACGTCTGCGCTGTGCACATGCCTGGGCAATCACGTACTTCAGAACCGGGATCTGTGTAGAGAGAATTAAATATCCCTGGCTGTGACGCATGTTTGGAATGTACTATGTCAAAGATTAAGGAAAAGTTACAGGAGCTTAATTGTAAAGGCACAATAAACTACATCACCTATGAATTTGTACTGATTCGTTATGAAGACGAAAAGTACCAAATCATTATGAAGATCATGTCTTAGTACAAAATTATTTGGCAAAAACAAATACATGAGAAAAGGTTATAAAATATAATAAAAATACATCCAGCAGGACAGGACAAACATGAAGAGATAAGACCGACCTAGCTGCTCCCACGGCAGAGGTTTGGAAGATGCTCATTCAAAAACCTGGATGTTTGATTTTTAATGACAAAGTGGACCTCATCTTATAAACACATGCTGTCGGATTCCAAGGACACAGTGTGTCTACATGTTATGAGAAATACAACAGAAACTGAATTCAATTCCTTTACGGGACATGATGAGTTGCTACAATTGCAAATTGCACAAAACTTTACCAGGTAGCCCTTTTAGGACCTCCCCTCTCTTTCTGTGGTTCTTTCAAGGACTGCGGTTAGAACCAATCACTAATTATAAAGAGAAAGTTGAAACAGAAAGAAAGAAAGAAAGATAAAGAAAGAAAGAAAGATAAAGAAAGATAAAGATAAAGAAAGAAAGATAGAAAGAAAGATAGAAAGAAAGACAGAAAGAAAAAGAAAGAAAGAAAAAGAAAGAAAAAGAAAGAAAGAAAGAAAAAGAAAGAAAGAAAAAAAAAGAAAGAAAAAAAAACTGTTCCAGGTTCTAATGACAATCCCAACCATATAGGAGATATGTATGAATTGTAATAGAAGTTACATAGGTCAAACTAAAAGAAAATTGAAGTAAAAGAATATATCCCTCAAAACAAAATTCAATCTCTCAACATTGGATTAACTTTGGCAACAAATGTGGCTTTTCAAAATTTTCCATTCTTGTTAAAGAAAAATTACCAAGACTTAATTTCAGAACATTTACACATATTAATAACACATAATACCATGAACACAAACCTTGAAAATAATTTATTCAATAAGATTTATGATAATGTAATTTTTACAATAAAAACCTATTTATATTCTTTTAATTTATGAATACATCTCATTTTTCTTACTTTTTTTACATTTCCTGTTTTGCATTGGTTTGTTCATGAAACTTAATGGTTTCCAATTCAAATTTTAAATGCCTTCAAGTCGCGATTGCCAACAAAACCTGCATCAGTTATTTTTTCTACTTGATATAGAGAGATTACTATAAGAAGGAACTACTTTGACAGCTACTGCTTGACCACTACTGGCAAAACAGTTGTAGGTTATGTCCATGCTCATTTTGTCAGTGCTTTCGATTAGTTAGCTCATGTGTAAATGGATTCACTACTACCTCATGCAATGTCATCACCCCGCATGATGTTCATTTGTTTCCCAACCTGTCAAAGTGATCCCTTCTTATAGTAACCTCACTATAGTCTCAAATAGATGGACAAAACGTGATTAGGTTCATTCATTGAAACATGTCTTGCTGATGTTTTTTGTAGATATTTTTTGTACCTGCAACGTACATTTTATTCTGGGTGAGTTTTTTCCACTTTTATTTTGTGCTATATTTATTTGTTAGTGTTGCTAAATTCACCTCATGTATTGTCGATTTTGTTTTCTAAGCGTTTTCTTGTAATTTTATATTATTCTAGTAATGTTATCTAAGAATCGTGGGCATCAAGTCTCAAAACATCATATTTTATAAAGAAATTATTACAATATACTTATAAGATTTAATATAAAAAATGAGTTATCATTGATTATCCCTAATTAAGGAAAAAATTAATTATTTCTAAATGAACATTTCGTTCTTATTTTCTTTTGGGTGTATACCTTATTTACACATCACTCCATTGCACAGAACAACAATTCACTAGACATAACCTTATTAGTAATAATATAAGCAATAATAACAAAAACAATAACAATAGTAGTAACAGTTGTAGCAGTAGTAACAGTTGTAGCAGTAGTAACAGTTGTAGCAGTAGTAACAGTTGCAGCAGTAGTAACAGTTGCAGCAGTAGTGGTAGTTGCAGCAGTAGTGGTAGTTGCAGCAGTAGTGGTAGTTGCAGCAGTAGTGGTAGTGGCAGCAGTAGTGGTAGTGGCAGCAGTAGTGGTAGTTGCAGCAGTAGTGGTAGTTGCAGCAGTAGTGGTAGTTGTAGCAGTAGTGGTTGTTGTAGCAGTAGTGGTAGTTGCAGCAGTAGTAGATTAGTAATAATCCCATTATTAAGAGAAATGATCTACATGGACCAAATCACTTTTATATTTGACTACATTAGGAAGACGTCTCCTGTGTTTTTGTAGGACCTTTGCTCAAATTTCTGTATGTCTTTACAGTACATGCTTTTATCCCCCAGCTTTTCCCTGTCTGTATGCCTTGCACTTTACAAATAAATTCACCTGTTCCCTTCTCATAGCTATGGACTCCCATTCTTCTTCATCAACTGAATTTTATGTAACACCTTGACTTGCACTTTTCTGTACAGATCCCAGCAAGTTACTCTGTAATTATTGTTTACATTTTACATTTTTGTTAAAAATATTGGTAAAGACAACTTTTATTCATTCTAGTTGCAAGGACTATTTCTCTCATGAAATTTCAGCCAATAATGTGCAATAATTTACACCATTCAAACCAATCTGAGAAATTAATCAAAATAATAACTTTTTCCTTTTCAAAAGTGGTCTGTATTTCTCCTGTTCTGTTTTGAGAAACCTTATAAAATTATACTAATGGCACTTAAAACAACTTTTGCTTACTACTATTTTACTACTATTCGCTGCATCACATAAACACATTTTTTTCCTTCAGCCAAGGCTTAGGCACATTTTTTCATTGACCAGCAGTTTTACTGCATATTTTCCCGGTATAATTTCTGTACATCAACTTCCCTAAGTTTTCCTGTTTTTTACAGAAATCTTTCACTCTGATTCAACACAAAAATATGTTACATATGGAGCACATTATAACATGACTAGCAACGGAGATAGTTGATAAAAGACTATATACTCTGAAAACTACTGCTATCATTTTCTGTAACTACACAAATCAAATAATATTCAGTAACAAGGGATAGTTGATGAGACTACTAAAAATATACTTTTCTCAGGAAAATATGACAACTTAATGCACAAGGTAGGTGAAAATTTAAAGAGAAAAAAAAAAAAATTAAATAATCCTAACTAAATTCCTTTTTCCTTTAGTTTAAAAAAATACGACACATGATTATAAATCTGTTCAAGAGTGAATAAATCCAGTTATGTGCAAATTACCTGGAAATCATAAAACATTAATTTCTCATGCAAAATGTGAAAAATAACAGATAAACAAAGAAAAAATAACACAAGAGCAAAACAAAACTAATTCAACCCTGGGAAAGAAAGGTGCATGCTACCAAAAATAAAACTGAATATATGCCCCAAAAGAGAGAATAAATAATATTGTAGTAATTAAAAAATCAGTTTAAATTGAATAACCCATGCTACATCTAAAATTACTGTAAAATAAATTATTCTTTCATCATCTCACATATCATAGATTTTCATGAACAAAATTCTGATTACGAACAAAATTTTACCCGTTTCTCTTTGCAGTCACTCCATTTAGATTTAAGATATGTACATCACGCATGTTCTACATGTTAAAACTGTTTTTGACTGCACTGCTGCACAATACATTTTATGCAATAATGTATTTTACAATTTTAAGAATTTAAATTGGTTTATTAATGTTTTTATCCACATTTTCACCCAGTTGTGTATTATTTGTATTCTCCATGAAACCTACATTCACTAATAAAAAATATCAACTCTAAAGCTCAAGAATACATTACGTTCCTTGTGCTTTTAAGCAAGAGTAGAAATTTATTATATTGTATACAAGGATCTAAAGAACATTATTCCCTCTACCAGCCTACAGAATAATGAAGATATACTGCACAATTTACAGGATTATGATTAATGGTACAACCATAAATAAGTCAACACAAGCACAATAAAAAATTACTGCCAGTTAATAAATTATAACTATTATAAGCACAAAAGTGACCACACTTCAAATCCCGATACAGTTCCATATGAACATTACCTTAGATGGAGTGCGTATGGGAAACCAGACTGGGCTCACTGCAGGCTTAGGCTTGTTAACCAATCTGCTTGTTTTCCAGTCATTTGTCAAGGCACCTCCAGAACAAAACTGCAAGAAGGGTTATGCATCTTGTTTTCAATAATTTATAGCTACTTAATGATAAGGTGCAAAATAAATGCTTCAAAAACTTTGCTGTATTATGTTAAAACGAAATATTATGTAGAAAGATTTGTTGGAATTGTCTGACCAATCTGGGTGCCAAATTTGTTAAAAGGCAAATATTTCTTAATTTTGATAATACATACATTCCAATGCTAGACTTTAAAGACTAATGCTTCAGAAGCCAATGTCTACAAAAATCATATTAAAATTGAGGCAACTGAATGATATGAGAAATAATGGATTAAAAAGATCTGTAAAACAATGTTACGTTTGAACTGATAATTATCTTTCAGAAATTATATATCAATCTGTGAATGTATAAATCTGTGCAGTTTACAATACAATTCTGCAGGGCAATTATATTGTTCTAAGAAAATGAAGATACAGCAGTCAACACAGCAAGTTTCTCAAGACTGATTCACATTTATAAATTATATATTATACTATTATATATAATATATATATATTATATATATAACTTATATAATATTAATAAATATACTATATATATCAATGGTATATTGAACATGTAGATAACACTAATATAAATTTAAATGATATATCGAGTGAAATATTACTAGAAACATGATATGCACGATGATAAATTTAAACAAGGAAGAACAGTTGCGTTTGTTATGCATACTATTCCTAGACATATAGATGAAAATTAGACAAACACTTGCATTTGGAAGACTAAGTAAACCCCATCAATCCCTCTTACTCACACACACTCACACTCACACTCGCATACACACACACACATTTGAACGTCTCAATTATCTGCAACTCATTTCTATATTCACAAATCAAAAGAATCATCTAGAACATTGAATTCAATGTGTAATAATAATGATTCAGAGGAACTTATGGGTAGATGAGAGGAAAAAGGTCAAAAGATAACATATATGTACAAAAGACACACATTATATAAATGATTAGCTCGTATCTTAATACAATGAGCAACTTATAAATGTCATTGGTCAGGATAGAAAAATATTATCACACAAGTACACAGTGTTAGAGCATGAAATACACAGTCATATACAATATTGATCTACTGGCAAATAAAAAAATGGAAAGTAATGTATGCAAAGCAAGGCAAGTAAATGCTTCTGCAATGGCTCACTGTTGTGCATGAATCAGTGACTGTAGACTCGCCCACGTGTCACAAATGTTTTTAAAAAGTGTTTTGGTATAGGACAGATTGGGTGAGGCAGACAAGGCAGACATAAAGAACAAGAGACTTAAGTCAGTGAGAATACAGAACAGAAGGGATCAACGATGGATCAAGAAATAAAGGAAGGGAAAGTGAGAGAAAAGATGAAGTGCGAGGAACAATGCAAGGTGGCTTCATTAATTATTAAAAAAATTCCAGCATAAATAACAGCAATGTGAATTTCAAAGTAGTAATAAGTACTCAGATGAAATCATATTTTAAAATCAAGGTTAAAAATATGTTTGAAAATTAAAAATAATAATTTCGTAATATAATGCAAATTATTAACGATATTTGCCTTTGATGGGCGTTGATATTTTTCTTTGTTGTGCGTATATCACACAGTGACCCAGCTCTGATTAAAACTTATGATGAGATTGACTCGTTTGAAATTGAACAAATGAGCGTGTACATTCATGTGTACAAGTGTGAGACTTCACACCTAATTGAACCTTATAATCAACGGTCATGTGGGAATTATTTTGGAGTCTTAGTGACAATCACATACTTATTTTAAATGAACTGGAAAGGAATATTGTTAATACTGAGTTTTTATTTTAATTTGCAACCCATGTCTGAGAGCACCTACCCCTGTTTTGGCAGTTTCGCAACGCATGAAATACCTTCAGCATCCGTTTCTCTTTTAGCGACTCCCTGGGAATTGCACGACCTCAGATTTCAGGGTGGGAGAATGCTGTTATTTCAGGTGGAAGAAAGAGAAACACTTATTTTAACTTGCAACCCATGTCTGGGAGCAGCTACTCCTGTAGGACGAGTAGTTATTCGAATTACAGAAGGTATTGTCTCCTGAGACTTCGCTATCAAAATTGCAACAGCAGTGTATATGTTGTAACAAAAAAATTGAAAAAGCAATCTTACAAAACATCAGTCAGGATGCACATATGCATTTCTGCAGTTGGTTTAGGAGCTTCTTGAACTTGACACCTTGTTTTTTGATTTAAGCTAGATTTTACCTGGACAGAAATGTACACAAACAGAACCATCTGCTGTGGTGCACAGTGAAACCACGTGAAACTCTACAAAAACCCCTTTGTTCTCGCAACTTTGGGTTTGGTATGGGGCTTAGTATGCCATATCTCCCCCTTTGAATATAGGAACAATTTTTTTTTCAGAGACAATTACTTCAGGAAAAATTAAGAGATCATTCAAAACTTTGTATCTCTGTTAGAAGAAGATGAGAAGCTGCTTGTTTCAATAAGATGATGACCCATGTCACACAGCACACAAAATTATAAATTATTTAAAGAACTAATTGCTTCGCAAGGTCTGTGGCCACCATGTTTACTAGATCTAACTCCTTGGCACTTTTTCTGTGGAGTGCTCTTAAGAGTAAAGTTTATGAAAACAAATCAACTTCTCTTGAAGATTTATGTCACAAGATTGGAGGCGTTACTTTTCAACGTGTTGGAGACATCACACTAAGTCAGGTTATATTCATTACAAGGAAATAATATTTTTTATTTATCATTTTCAATAATTATTAATTCACCACTTATTATTTAATAAACATTTTTATTAGTTTTATTAAGATTTTCTTGTTGGTTTAATTGCCAAGTTCCATAATAATAATGATTATATTATTATTGTTATAAATAATTAAGAGCTTGGCAGTGAAGTTTCAAGAGATATCTTTCTGATTTCTCTTTGAGTCAGCTTTCATTGAATAATAATTATTGTTTTGTAATTTTAACATACAAGTAAGGTCCAAACATATTATTGACAATCACCTGACAACATGTCCTGTTCCACAATTCATCTGTGACTGGTTGACAGTAAGCAAAGATTATGTAGATCACTACCTACTCCAAAGGAGTAAATGTACATCTAGTGAAATCACACACAATATGACTTGGCAACAGGAGTTCCCGTTAAGTTAATAATTAGAAATGTATAAATATCTGAAGAAAGAGAAAAACGAATCTCCATAAGTCATGTAATGTAACCATATGTAGTTTATGAAAACGTTTAAATGTTAAAAATGTTTGGATCTTACCTGTATGTTAAAATTACTAAAAAAATGTAATGATTGTCTGTACCTTAAGAAATATATCAAAAATAATAATTGTTCCATTGCGTAACTTCCCTACATATCTTCAGTCTTACAGTTTTGTTTCTGGAGCATACTGGATAGCAAGATCGCATAAAGAAACATTTTGATGACCTGCTCTTGTTCTTGCCCACCCTACCCCATCCTGCTCAGCACAAAAAGATTCTAGCTAGTGAGCCATGTACCTGACAGCCCAAAGTCTTGAATGGAAAAACAAAGAAACAAGAAAGTTGCTGGAGCGTATTACCTGAAGCTCCCCTCCTCCCCTCATGTACCAGCCCTGGCTGTCTTGAACGCAGGTAAAGATACACGGTTGTCAAATTGTCACAACAAGAGTAGGTGCTCCCAGACATGGGTAGCAAGTTAAAATAAAGACCCAGTATTTGCAAGTTCAATTGCTTGGGATCAACCCCATTAGCTTCTGAATATTGTTGATACCGAAACTATTCCGATTAAAACTGACATTTCACTTTTTTTCATACAGTTTTACAATTTATTCATTAAATTTGTAATAAAGATGAATACCATCCTCACAAGTTACTAAATTACATGCTTAGTAGAATCATATTAATGAACAGGTTCTAGATTAATAATTTTGTTTATCCCTTTTCTTAAGCCATGGGAGAGCAAAAAATATACGTCAAAAGAGGACTAGAGATCAAAATCTATGATTTTTTCTTTAAAGGAAAATATTTATTTGGAAACAAGAAAAAAATTAAATGTAAAAAATTACATTTGTGAGACTCTTTATGGTGAAGCAACTGTTTGACAGTAGGTAATACTACGTTTTTTCCCCTACCAAATAATTACGAAATTACTGAAATTTGCAAGGTCTTTTTATCTCCCTTCAATGGGATACCTTTTGTAAAATAGGGATATCAACAGCTAAATATATTGTACTGATATATAATGTTAAAAAATATTGTACTGAATATAATGTTAAAAAATTGTAACTTAAATATATCTATACTAAAACAATTATAAAAATAAATCTTGTTTGCATTTTCTAAAAATTCTGTTTTGTAGCAACGATATATTTATCCAAAGATTTATGAGCTCTAGTAACATTTAAACCAGAAATTCTAACAGTAATTTTCTATGGACGCTTAATGTCTTGTTTAGATGGTTGGTTGACAAGTAGTTAAGCATGATTCCTGATATAAATAACAAAAATAACATTTTGCAATTATAATTTTATAACGATCTTATTACATTTTGAATAGTTTATTTATTTTCATTTATCAGAAAGCTCAAATTGATGGGGAGGGGAGGGAAATGGCTGGGACATTAAAACATGGAAATTTTAAAACTTTTTGGGTACTTGCATAATTACACATTTCAACTAAGTGATTCGGTTTAGGAGCAGTTTTTATGTCTTATTTTCAAGGACACTGTACATGCTACTCTCTCTCTACATCAATTACTTTAAAGTTTAATACAAACAATGATAGAAAAAATGAAATTCTAAGATGGTTGAATTTTATATATATAATGCTTTTGTGAGTTATGCTTGCCTATAACCCAGGCCAAAGTCCTGGTGCTGTGTAATAATTAGGTCTAATTGTTAGGATGTTATAGGGATGTATTACTGGGTTATGGGCAAGCATAACTCACAAAAGCATTTTTGATTAGTTTTACAACAAACTTCCATCTCTCTCTCTC